TCGAAAATCAGTTACTGCAGAGTGGTACACTAACAATTGTTTGCCACTTGTCTTGGAAAAAGGTCGGGGTTTGCCCCGACCGACCGCGCAGTAGGATCGTCCTTCACCGCGACAACGCCTCGTCGCACACCGCCAAGCAAACAATCGACTACTTGACGATGTCAGACGTGGTATTTATTACTGGGTCACCCGCCCTACAGCCCCGACCTCGCACCTTGCGATTTTTATTTATTTCCGAAAATAAAAATAAAACTTCGAGGAAAACGCTTTGTGGACGCCAAGGAAGCAGTGGCTGCGTTTCAAAATCCCGTCGAAGAAACTCCTAAGGAAGAGAGGGCAAAGTGCTTTTCTCAGAGGTTCCATCGGTTGCAGCGATGTATTGATGTAAATGGACACTATTTTGAATAGATATAATAAAACTAATACCTTGCTTCTTTTCTTCAGTTTTTGATTTTCTAAGAACTTTCAGTGTCAGCCTCGCATAATCATCCCGAGTCAAAGTTTGGTCGGTTTTATCCATTACAGCTTTAGTTCCGGCAACTGAAAGTATTAGTTGTGTACCTTGCGTTAATTAATTGTGTGCACACGCTTTGTGCGTGGTCGATATCAACATTTTTATCACGACATTATCTTCAGACGTTTTTGTAGACGATACGGTGCTTATAGGGCTATATATATTTACGTACGTACGACAGCCAAGCTGATAATAGCGATGGGACTTTCGTACCATTGTGGTTTAGAATTTAGAAATATTAATATTATAGTAAAGTTAATTTTGAATTTTAGGTTGAGGTTCTTGTAAAAACGCCTTTAAAAAATTTCTTCGAAGTTTATCACTAGACTAGGGCTAGTTTTTTTAATTGACTTTCGACAATTTTTATTATTCGATATTATATCGCGTAGTAGGTACCCTCTTGGGGTAGTTTTTATTCGATTCCGCTACTATGTTAAGGGGGAAGGGGAATTGGACCTCCAGCCCAAGCGAAACGCAGAGGTAAACCTCTACTTCACACAGGTATTTTGTGAGGTCGTGGTACCACCCCGGTTCAAGCTGGCCCATCCATGCGACATCAACAGCCGCTGCGTGGCTCTACCACTGTCAAGTCAAGAGGATGGCTGCCATTTTGGTTCATTTCAGCTCAGTCTTATAGCAGCTACCCTTCATCTTTTTTATAGTATAGGCTGACAATCGAGCACACAGTCCACCTGATGGTAAGTGGTTGCTGTGCCCCATAGACATCTACATCTATCCTCGATTACAAATCAAAATGCAGATGCGCTGTCACCCGTGTGGACTAAGATGGAATGCCTAGTTACCAGTAAAAAGGGTCTCCGGTTCTCTACACTCACCATACGAAACAGCAGCATTAAGCACTATTTTACGCTGGTATTCTGTGAGAGCGTGGTCCTTCCCCGGTTGAGCCGACCCATTCGTGCTAGAACTATACTTCTAATATATCTGCAGCATGGCTCTACCACGTATAAAAATGGTTATATAAATTACAGGATCTAACAATAAATCGACTTCTTGCATAGTTTGTCTTACAAGGAGGAATGTAAAAGATAGATTTTAAGTTCAGTCAATAAGTATGGGGACTGGGAAGTCAATATAATTACGAGTATTAAACATTTTGTACAAAAAGTTAACATCGCGATTTTCACATTTGGTTTCTATATTTGTTACTAAATTTGCTTATAATTAGGCGTTTAAGGAACATATTTGGGATACGTTGTAGGGTGTCCATATAAATCACACAGCCTGAGACCCTTCTCGGTGAGATGAAACGTGAGCCGTCGAAGGAAAAACTTTTACCAATAGAATTTTGCAAAAGCTTTTGTTTAAAATTTATTCAAAAGAAACAAAAGAAAAACTGTTTGATATGCTCTGCTAAAAGTCCGCTTCTGTTATTGGGTACGCTAAGATGCGACGACTGATGCCACTCTCTCTGATGATGAAACTTAAAGATGTAGAGTAGGTACCAAATACATTTCTGAAAGGACTTTAGTGAAATGGCGACTGTCAGTCCAAAATTTTAATAGATTATCTGAATTCCAGGGGTTTTTGTCAGTGGTGACAAAAGTGTATTTTATTTTTGTGTATTGGCTTTTGGAAATACATCAGCGCTGTATATCGTCAGTCTGAGTCGTCGACAGTCGTGTGTAGACTAGTAGTCTACTGTATATCGTATTTGATACATTTTCAGAACTTAATATTTTATATCGATTATCGAACATAATATATTGATATATCCATACTTCGATATTTTTACTACAAGCCTACATACAACTATAAATAATTGATTTTCCGAAGCAGGAGATATGATACAGGTGGAAGCATTGTTTACTAAACAACGTTTGGATGATGATAAAATTAAGTATGTAGATATAAAGTTAATTAATATAAGGGTATCCACAAAACTTTATCGTGAGTCAAACAAGCTTCAAATTAGAAGTAATTTGTAATTAATTACAAATTCCAGCTAGCTTGATTTCGTTATACGGGGTTATTTTTTAAAGAATAGCCAACTTAAACTAATTTCAAATATATAAATAATGATATACCTACCGTTATTGCAGTTTTTTAAAATAAAAGTAAAGGCTTCTACTTTTATTTGAAATTAACCCAAATTGAATGTGACTTAAGGGCAACAACGTTTTTGCCTACCGATCGTGCGCAATAAAATCAGTTAAAATAATGCGTTAAGTACCACGTATTTTGAATTTGAAAGATAAAAAGAACAGATTGTTTGATTTTCGAAAATCGAGTTTTCATCAGATCTCGACGTTTTGAAATCCCAGGAAGCTATTCTCACTAATTTCACGTGGACATCCGTACAGATGTATGTATGTACCTACTTATATGTTGTGTGTATGTAAACCTTTCATAACTTTTAAACGTCTTGATCGATTGAGGTGCGGTGTTCTAAAGATCTCAATGTGGAATAGAATTTGGTAATAATATGAACTAATTCAGACGAGTAGTTTTTGAGAAATTTCAAAAATAAAAATTTTGAATAACTGTTTTTTTGGAATAACTTTTAAACGGCTTTATCGATCGATTTCAATAACTAATCAGCTCTTAACTTCAAAAAAAAAATGACGTCAAATGCCGTTTGGAAAATAAAAATCGGTTCATTCTTTCGCGAGATATCTAAGGAGAATTTGAGTAAAAAACTTTTTTTTTAACATAACTTCGAGATTTCTAAACCTAATTTGGTGAATTTTTGAGCGCTTTCCATTTGAAATTTGCGGGAAGTTCCAGAGATGGCCAGCAGGGTCAACCAATTTTTTTAAATTAATTTATCTTTATCATATGCCTATAATACTTATTCTGAAAATTCTCTGCAAATTTGGTCTAAATATAGCTTAAAGAATATAGTATATAGAATATAGTTTTCTAGACAAGATTATATACGTCAACTAACAATAGCAGTTGAAACGCGTTAAGGTAGACATTAAAGACTATTATTATATAATGATATCAGCTGGGGTGTCAGGGGTACTATTAGCTTAGCACACTCAGCAATCTCAAACATTGCTTATCACCGTAACCGGTTAAAACCGGCTGGCAGGTGGACACGTGAGTGACGACCGCGTGTGTGGTAGTAAAATCTAATTCTATTGATAATTTTATATCATACTACAGTAAAATAAAACGGAATTAAGATTGTAGTGACGCTGCAAGTCTGCGCCTCTGACACTGCGTCACTCTTCAATGAGAGTTAAACGCCTATGAGGAAAATAATGAGAAAAAAACAGCATTCAGGTGTCCAATACAATAATAACAGGTGTAGATAATCGTATTTAAAGTATAATATTTTATTGAAATAATACTAGTTTTTACGGAATTTATCGCGTATATTTAACTTTTTAAATTAAATATACGCGATAAATTCTTTTTAAATTCTTTTTCGATTAAATTTTACCTTAATTTAAGTAATTATTCTACTTATTTGAAATTCGTACAGGTGTTAGCCAAAAATGAAACATATTTCGGGCATAAGTGATACAAAAGTCATAGCTCTCGTTGTCGAGTACCAGAATAACTTGTGTCTGAGGTCGAGTCTTTGTTAAACAAAGTCTCGGATTGAGGACTACTGAAGCAAGTCTAGTTTAACCCTCAGAAAACACAAGATTGCGCGTTTATTGCTAAAAAGAACGTTGTCGCATAGCCTAATTTCCCCTTGCTCCTTTAGCCATCATCGCAATCGTGGCGTCGACATACCGGGCCGGTCGACATAGAAGTGCAGCTTCGCTGTCAATTGAAAGGGAAGCCAAAGTTGGCCTCCGAAAAGCTTGGCGTACTCAGTGAAGCGAGACAGTTATTTCATGCCGGCACACCACAACTTAACAAGTCGCAAATTCGTTCTCACCTGGAATACTCTTGTCAACTCTGTGTCGGGGCATCCAGGGCCAACTCCAACTTGAACACATTTAGAAAAAGCGGTCCGAATCCTCGACGACCGGGTTCTTTCTAATCTGCTTAATTCAATGGCTTTGCGAAGAAATGTTTACATTTACCACGGGGGGTGCTCAAAGAAATTGTACGGACTATTTCCAGCTCCTAAATTCCACCATCGCGCATATCTACAATACTCTAGATACCATCCACACCACCTGGATGCTCGGCGGTCCATCACTGTACGATTTACTAGGAGTTTCATCGCATGACTTGTTTGTGGAATCGGCTACCACCGACGATTTTTCCAGACTGATACGACTTAGGGACCCTTAATAAATGAGCTTACTCCTTTTTAAAAGAACCGGTAACCGGTCCTTATGGGCCGCGTAGTTCGCTGTCTATACGCTAATTTTGATATCGACCTAACCTCCTACTTGTTACTTATCTGTTTAGTTTTATTACGATTTTATTTAGTGCTTATTTTTTTTAAATTCTGGTTGGCAAGTTATAACGTGAGGTTTATCATATATTTACTTATTAGTTGCAAGTGAAATCCTAAAGGATTTTTTTTTGTAATTATTTTATTTTTATTTCACAGGGTCGTTTGAACGAGCTCCTGTGCGCGGTTAGACTTCAGCGCAGTGCCAGTGCAGGCGCACCACAGGAGCGCTATCATTTAGATCCAGGTAAATATTGGCTGCGTCAACATTGTACGTGTTGCTTATCGCTAATATCCTTTCTGTTTGTGACGTCTGTTTGATTGCGCTTTAAAAATCAATGTTGTATTAAAACGGTTTAATCAGCGGCGTAGCATGAGTAGCTGCCAGGGTTGCTAGAGTTAAAATTGCCGTCCTCACCCCTACCTTAAAGATATAAATTTGGTAAAAGTCTTCTATAATCGTTGTGTATTATTTAAAATTAATAAAACATATTTTTAGAATTTGTAACGCTATTTTTGCTTATTGCTAGCATTATTTTATTATTAAAATGCCCACCCCACAGAGTTATACGAGGCACGAAAAATAATTATTATTATTCTATTCCAGATAATAAACCTAAACCTAAATTAGATACATACTTTTGTGGCTTTAAATCTTCTAAAGTATTGATTGGTATTTTAATGAAAGCCTACAATATTACAAATTGTAAAAATTTACATTTCAACCTCCCACAAAACTGAAGTTTATAGGAACCATTTTTTAGTTTTATGATAAAAAATCACACTCGGATTTAGTCAAATTTATGTCGATTTCTTTATGTTGCTAAATAAGTTTTTTCGATCATATTCTAGGTGCGCAAGAAGACGTGAAGCAGTTTTTGACGCTGCAGCAGCGTGGAATGGCACACTTGATGGATACTGCGCGGAAGGACCTCGCCGCTCTCAACACGATTGCGGAAGGCATGTCTCGTCTTGTGCAGGCATAGCACAGCGCACACACAAACTTTTTCCCGAACTACTTAAATTAGGTCAAATCGATTACAAAATTTATAAGGCGTGTTATATTTTGTAATAATAAATAAATAATAAAAATGGATATTGCACATGTATTTTTATATTTCATACATAATCAATTCCTTTTAGCAACGCCATGCGTAGTTTGCGACAGACTCATGTCCAATCTGTATGGTATTTAGGGATGCGGGTTGTTTAAGAAGCAAGGAATCTAATTTTGATACGATGCTATATTGGAAATTAAGAGATACCTAGTTTCAACATTGGTATGGTGCGGTATTATAAGTATCCTTTAAACGAGCAATTCTTGTATATATATATAATCGGAGTCTCGTAAACGGCTCCAACGATTTTCATAAAATTTAGTGTCCAGGGAGTTTTGGGGGCAATAAATCGATCTAGCTAGGATTTATTTTTAGAAAATGTCCTTTTGTCCGTGTTTTCAAGCAATAAAAAAACTGCTACAATATAAGAAAGGTAAATTTTGACTGACTACTAACGGTCGTAATAGCTCAGGTGGGATGTCCGTGGTTCGCGTCCCGTTTCTTGGGTCCGACTTTTTTTCCTTTTTTTTTTAAATTCCCTTCTTTTGTGAGAAAATCTATTATTTCGAGCCCTTTTTTTTAGTAATTTTTAAAAATAAGAAAAAAATTTAATTAAACGAATTGCACTCACGATTTTCATTCAAATAACCAGTTCAGTTTTTTCTATTATGTCAATAAGATCAAAAAATATTATTCAAGTAATTTGTATTTAAATGTAACTTCCAAAAAAATAACCGAGCAAAGCTCGGTCATCCGGGTACTAACCATAATACGTGGTAGAGTCACACTGCAGCCATATTATGGTTCTACACGAACAGGTCGGGTCGTCGACCAGGGGAGAGACCACAGTGTCACGGAATACAAACATAAAATAGCAACTTATTGCTGTTGTGTATCGTATGGTAAGTGTTGAGAACCGGGGAGCCTTATTGCTAAAAATTCCATCTTAGTCCTCAAGGGTGGCAACACAACTGCATTTTGATTTTCAATTAAGGATAGATGTAGGTGTCCGTGGGCCACAGCATCCACTTACCATCAGGTGGATATCGTACTCGTTTTTCTTCCTTATTCAATAAAAAAAAGAGTTACATTTCTTTGTATTTTCTATTGTATTTACCAAAGGAAGTGCTTAGAGAAATTGTTTGAATTAATATCAGCCACCAAATTCACCATCGCACATCGTGACAAAAATTCACATCATCCACAGCTTGACGTTCCTCTGTTTGTGATCTGGAAGCATAGCAGCTACCCACTGTGCGATTTACTAGGAGTTTTTTTCCTAGTACTACTTATTCTTACTCTTCGGGCATACTCTTTTTAATAGGCCAAAAATGCACTTGCTACTCCTCTGGTATTGCAGTTGTCCACAGGCGGCGGTAGACACTTCCCATCAGGTGAAGCGCATCTCTCATCTATCTCAAAAATCGAGAGGCGATGACTTGATCGTTATTGATAGCAACACAAGAATTCCGTAAATTAACAAAGCCGTAAATTATCAAAATGAGTCTTACATTTATAATTTCCATTTCGGTATCATAACTGTTGGGTGAGAAGTATTGTGTAATACGCTATCCCAGTCTGGAATCTGAGGTACAAGTGTTACTCAAACCGACTGGAAAAGATTCAGAAAAGGTTTATGTACCAGTTATCGTATGCAAATAACCAATGCAGGACACTCATTTTATACGAGAGTACATTGGCAGACTACAAATTAGAATCGCTATCCAAGCGGCGGGAATCATCTGATGTCATGTGCCTCTATAAAATTAATAATAATAATAATAATGTCCTCCAGACCGAATTTCGGCCACGGCGGCCTGCCTCAACGGAGGCTAGCCATCGGCGCAGGACAGGATTATAGTGCCCAAGTATATGCGCAAGCACAGGTGCACTCTCTATTCCCTCACTCTCATAATCCGATGGGACGGTAAACCGACACGACCGGAGAGAGATCAGGCGCAGGACCAACGGCTTAACGTGCTTTCCGAGGCACGGGGGTGGGACACCGCCAACTTCCTGACTCCGGGCAGCTACTGAGAATTTCTGGACAGAAAAACTCAATAACTGATTTTTTGGCCCGACCTGAGATTCGAACCCAGGACCTCATGATCAGCAGACGCACTACTACAACCACTAGACCAACGAGGTAATCAAGTCTCTATAAAATTATCCGTAGTCTCATCAACTGTCCGAACATTTTAAATCATTTAGATGTGTCGGTCCCTAGAGCTGGTAGTCGCTTGGGCCGCAAAAAAACTTTAGTCACGCCACACTGTAAAACAGTGGCGGGGCGGCACTCGCCATTGTACGCAATGACCAACAGTTACAATAATATTCGTGAGTTGTTCGACATCTTTCATGGTTCTAAGACCTCAGCAAGGGCTAACATTAGCCATTAATAAACTAATATTTATTACTTTAGAGTTTTTTCATTTCTTTATTTGGATTTGTTATCTTGTCCACTTGTTGCATGCTGTGAACACTGTTATTAGAATGAACGTTTGTTTGTTACTTTTTTATGTTACCTGAACCATGTAAATGTTACATTCCGTTTGTGAACCAAATAAAAAAAAACAATAGGTACGTATAACAATGTAATCAGTTAGGTTAGTACACGTACTTTCATCAAAATAATTTACTTAATAAAATTCATAAATTGACGCTGATGTAAAAACGGAACGAAACATTGCTTGGTTCGAAAACGAAAAAGTATGTCGATTATAAGGACAATCTCATCTTTACAGTAGAAAAAACGTCCCACTATACATCGATCTACATATTTTTCTACTTTGTCGATGCTCCAACTGTAAATATAAGTTTGTAATCGCAAAAAAAATATACGTCATAGCTATCGATACCTATATACTACCAATTAACGGATTTCGGATGCTTTCCTTTACTTGTCCTGAGATCTTGCTTCACAATTTCAAGAAGTAAGTAACATACTTTTGATGAGTTTGTAAGTATCAAAATATGTTACCAAAATGGCCGATATTTTGTGTTAATATAGAAGCTTGAATTTTAACTGCTCTAGGGGCTATCGACCTTAGTATTTAATATTGACTTCAATTTGATACCTTTACCTGTTCCTCATCATAAAAGGCGGAAAGACAGTCGAATAAATGGACAGACAGACATGAAACTATATATGGGTTACGTATTTTTCCTTTTAAGGTACATATGGAATTCTAAAACCGTGGCAGAGCCGCGCCCAGAGCGTATTATGGCCACAGTACGAATAGTTCAGATCGATAGGTAGGTTTGTACTACGCTCGCGAGAATTTCAGCATAGAATCGTAGTATTGGACCCTAAACCCCTTCTCGTAACAAAGCTTTGTGACGTGTCCACGGAGGATATTCTTAGCTTTTTTACGGCACACATTTGTAAAAAAAAGTAGTATTTTAATGTAATAATTGATTTCAATATCCTTAAAAAGCTTCTACCTGGCACGACCATCGGCATAACGAAACTACGGTGACGGGGAAAACCGCTTAGGGACCTTCAAGAAAAGAGCCTACTCCTTTTTAAAAGGCTGGCAACCTCTAACCCTATTTATACAAGTATATAGAGGTCAGTGCCGGCAACGCATCTGCAATTCCCCTGGTGTTGCAGTTGCTCATGGGCGGCGGTAATCACTTACCATCAGGTGAGCCGTATGATCTCTTGCCCTTCTCCTATAAAAAAAAACTATGAGACTACACTTGTAAAATTCAAAAGTAGGTACATTAAAAGTACTAATTTTTCATGAATATATCGCAAAAAAAAAAGGAAATCCTCAGAGGTCGTGCCGCAAAGCACGAAGCGAGCTGTCGTGTTAATCCTTAGGTTTAACTATTTTTATTCGAGATTAGATGATGCCCTGAATCACAGCACCATTGTCGTTTGGTTACTACCGAATAACATTATAAAACACTCCTGGAGGCAACATATGTGCTTTAAAACACTTCCGCGTCTACTTTTTGATACACTTACATATTCGTTGCAATAGGACATCCTCAGTTACTATACTCTTTGGACATCCTTATCATTATGTATCAGATTGTTTCGAATTCCAACCGGAGTTACACTTTCCAAAAACACGACAGTTTTTGGGTATTACATGTTGTTCCGAATGCTAGCGTGTTTCGGAAATTTTTGTATTGTTAGGAGGTTTTTTAATATTCTGGAAGTGCTTAGTTGATTGAGTGCTTGATTGATGGCGATGATAGTGCGTTAAAAGGTCAGAACTCCGGTACGGTTTTTTATTTATCCAGTGTAAAGGTTAGTTATAGTTAGTACCTAACCGCCGCGCCGTCAGAGTGGCATACGCAATACTTTGCTGTAAATTATTTCATTTTTAAGTAACAGAACGCAAAAATAGTATGAGTTCTTCCGGTCGATAGTACAAATGGGCTGTGCCTTCTCTGGAGTGATACTCGCATAACGATATAGAAATTCATTATGCATTTATAACATCAAGGCCAAAATTATTAATAAGTACTTACTCTATAGGTACCGCCCAATATTGAAAAAATCCGTTAAAAATATGTTGAAGATAAAGTTTTTTTTTTAATTCTTAAACACGCACACTTCGCAAACAAGACGAAAATAACCAGTGTGAACAAGACTAATATGTCTACAGTCTACACTTATGGAGTAAATACTTAATACAGTAAACTGCAGCAGAAAGTCGTGTCATGCAATGATTTAAATAGTACTATTTAAATCTTTGGTGTCATGGATGTTGTTTCAATGATAATAATGTGCTGAATATGATGAACTGGAGGAAAACTTTGTAAATAGTAGATATTTTCCATCTCATGTTTTGTATAAACTTTCTTTTGTTACATGCTGTCGTCATTTTATGTAATTTTGAGTATCAGATTAGGCTACGATATGAACTACGTGCTCGCTTGTCTCATAACTTCGAAGTAACGCAAGAAACTGACTTCGATCTTCACCGACAACTACTGAAATTGTTAAACCAAACCCCCTCTGAAAACGAGAGGAGGTCTGTTCCTAGCTGTGGGACATAATGTGACGATTCCATAAAATACGAGATCATACCGGCAACATAAATATTGCGATTCTATCCTGGACAGCTGTCACTATACATGTAAATTTTTTCTTTTCGGTTCTTAGATGGTGGTAAGGATGGTACTATTTTTTAGTACGAAACTTAAAAAAATTACTTGTTATTTCGGTTTCATGAATGTCAAATTAAACTCTTCTACAAAAATTTCCAGTAAATTTTTTTGGCTTTGAGGTGTATGCCGGACCGATACGACCTGGGGACCTTCAAGAAAAGAGCTTACTCCTTTCTAAAGGGCCGGCAACGCTCCTGCAATTCCTCTGGTATTGCGGTTGATCATGGGCGGCGGTAGTCACTTAACATCAGGTGAGCCGCATGCTCGTTTGCCTCCTCTTTTAAAAAAATGCAAAGTAAACATGGGCTTTTTTGCTTTACTAAAAACTAAACAGCCAACTAAGATTATATCACAAAAAGAACTTACCTTGGTCGTTTTAGCTCATACTCTACCAATAGCAAAACAAAAAAATATATTTTTAATTGGTTTATGTTTACCGCAGCCCTTCTAGCGCATACATTCTTTTATTAAACAGTATGAAAGAACACCTTACATTGGCCTTTTTTACTTAGTATCTTTTGAAAGACTATCAATAAACGTACGAACTTTGGCCCATTTAGCACCAGGTTACAGATATTATGTATAAAGATGTAGTTTCTTTTAAAACAAATATTTCAATAAATAATTTATTTTCAATAAAATCTTTTTACTAAAGTCAACTTTTTGTACTTAAATCTAAGGGCAAATCCGTGAATCTGACTAGATCGTCGATGGGTTTGCATTCAATTCGCTTAGAGCAAATCAAATTTAAAGGCGCGTCCTCAATGTTTCTGTAGTCGTTGGTGACTTCTGTGGGCTTAATAGGCTTAATTAGGCTTCGGTCGTTATATATATAAGATTTCTCGCTAACACTCGTTCGTAGTACAGGATAACTGATGCCATTTGAATAATAACTTTTGTAAGCGTGGTCATACATCTGTGTGTATTCTAAATATGACATTTCATGCGTCGGTACTCTGATAGGATAAATGGGTTCCAAAGGTCTCACATACGTTACTTGTGGAACGTAACCAACTGCCGATATATGAGGCTCTGAAAATGGCAGTCGATTGTGCAATACTTTTGGTGAAGTTGCATTCTGACTTGGGTAAGTAAAACATCCATGTATCGGTGAAACAGACTCTATGGCATAACTGGTTTCTCTTGGTGGTGATAAGCTTTCTCGTTCTTGACTCTCATCTGACGACTCTCGTTTTGTAGTTTCTTCAGGAGCGAAGTGTTTGTACGTTTTGACGTGTTTTCTCAAACTTGAGGGATCTGTATACCGTTTGTTGCAGCCTGGTATCTTACAACAATAGGGTTTGTCTACGGTATGTGTTCGCGTGTGCTTGAAACGGTCGCTTGAGTTTGAATAGGCTTTACCACAACCCTGTAAACAATATAAACATATTTTGTTATATTTTTACTGTATTTTATTTTATGTGCGTAAATATAAATATATATAAAAATAGTAGCTTTTTATATCTAACCTCATATGGACAAACGTAAGGTTTTTCGCCGGAGTGCGATCTAAGATGAATTTTCAAGTTTTCAGCTCTGGAGAAGCACTTGTTACACTGGTTGCATGTGTGCGGGCGCTCGTTTGTGTGAGTACGTACATGTACTAACATCTTGTATCTGAGGGCAAGATAAAAATAATTTAAGAATTACGAGTAAGATATACTTGAAATAAATTTTACAGACTAACAACAGGAAGTGATAATTTTAAGAATTAAAGCTATAAAAGCCATATATAAAGCCATTAAAGCCTATAAAAGTTTACTGATGCGTAGGCCTCCCCCATAGAGTGCCTCATCCTCATCCCCCTTGGATTTTGACAAAGTTGCCACGCTTTGCAAACGGGTTTCTTTTTTACCTTACCTTTTTTATTCTGAGTTAAGTCAAGGACTTGCTGCTACCCATCTCCTGTTTCCCTCTGTCGCCTCTTACGACACCCAAGGTACGATATAAGGTAAGTGGATATTCTTAAAAAAACCTCCGCTTTGTTTTATTTTTTAGAACAATATTGGTAAATTATATATAAATATTACCTATGTTAAATATATATAATGTAAATAAATATAATTGTGTGTGTTTAACATGTTAATGTTTTATATTACCTAGCGTTGAATCCTCTTTGAGGCCTGGAACAACCCTTCCAGCCACAGTAGAATAGACCGTCTCTATGCGCGTGTGCATGCCCGCGGGCGATGTGTGCAGACAAACGGGCAACATTCGGAAAACGCACCCCACACCCGCGCCAGCCGCATACACCTTCCCCTATTTCAACAGTCTCGTTTACATTTCGCTCAGGTGATGACCCACCCAATGAGTCTTCATCCTCCAACTAGAAAAAACAAACAATAAAACAATTATGAAAAATATACACGCAAAACCAATATCCATCTTTCTGTTTATACCATATTGTTATTCAAAGTATCTAAACATTAGAAATATGTGTATATGTTTTTAGCAGTCTTTATAATGAATTTCTAAAATATTCACACCTGCGGTGGAAGAGGTGGAGGCGTTAACACTGGCCTTGCAAAGTACGGCGCGAACATCTCGGCGGGCATCCATCGTTGTGTTCTACACCCGTCCTGTATTTCAGGCCTCCATTGCGGAAACACTAACATTGTTGCACTTTTTATTTTATTATTTTTGTTTACCAGTATAAATTATTTCTGTACTGCTGGTCACTACGCGGTCGGTACGTGTAATGGATGTGCCTGCTCGCGTTACCTACTTATAAAACGTCTCGGAGCGACAACGCACTGATAACAGTCTGAGTCCCCTGCGAACAGTCGCCTTTATTTATTCGAAAAATCATTAATTCCAAATTCTGCTGGCATTTGTATGAATTAGTCAGTAAAGATGCGTATTTTGTTTTTACATTATTTTTAAATTATGATTTAAAGGTAGTGTTAGAGTCGAAAATCGCTTGACAAAGTCTCAAATCGCGACAGAATTTGTGTTGTATAACGTTATCATAAGCCGCCTGCCGCGGCCGTTGTCCGGTTATTACCGGTACGATAGGCACCAGGTCAAGAGGTGACTGATATGTCTCTGTTTATGAAGAGACCTCATCGCAGTCCGGACAGTAGTTGTTTTTTTACACATTATGCAATTGAATGCGAGTAAAATAAAAACATAGTTAATTATTTTTAATTAAAATTTAATTAATAATTTAAGGTGAAATTATGACGAATGTAATAAGTTGTGTTGTCCTTGGGATTCATGGAGCCCATTTACATCTTTATTGTTTTGGGTCAGTCTATGGACCTCAATGAACCTGTGTAATACGTGAAAACCTTTATATTAAAAACAGTTACATATAAATAATAATATGATGATGCGGCGTAAAATAGTGGTGTAATCTCAGACAAAATAAAAATATTTTGTCTGAGGGTGTTATAAGATCAATCTCTCCATCTCATACTGTAGTGTCGTAAGAGTTGATTTTTTTATAGGATAAGTTGGATAAGGGTGACAAACGAGCACGCAGCCCCCTCATGGTAAGTGGTTGCTGTGATCCATGACATCTACATCTATCCTCGATTACAAATCAAAATGCAGATGCGCTGTCACTCGTGAGGAATGCCTTGGTTCCAGTAAAAAGGGTCTCCGGATCTCTACACTCACCGTACGACACACAGCAGCGTTAAACAGCTACTTTACGCTGGTATTCTATGAGAGCGTGGTGATTCCCCGGTCGAGCCGACCCATTCATGCTACAACTATACAAGTATCGCTGCAGCATGGCTCTACCAGGTAAAAAGATAATTATTATGAGACATTTCAGGTCTTCCACCTCTGACTTCAGTACTGTGCGTTTGGTATGGTGTTAGATGTATATTGATTGATTGGAAAATGTAACAGCTTCACTAGATAGGCCCGAAACATTCTTAAGACTAGGTCTTAGCACGATTTCAAATTCGTTTGTCACCCGCGCGTCCCGCAGTGGGCCGAGCGCAACCGGCAGTCGGAGAGCGCCGCGTGAACACAGTATGCGCAAAGCAAGCAGACAATTCACCTCCAAACAAAAACTTTTCCCTGAGGTCTACTGTTCTCAACACTACTAGGTATTTTAGTAATAATATTTTGAGTACCTACTCACTAATATCAAAACTGTTTACGAGGTCTGGAGTCTGGGCATCACACTATATTTTAATTATCAATATTTTTTTTAACTATTACATACATATACATTTAAAACGCCAACTCACAAATTCTAAAAAAACCCAAGTTTCGTTGGCAAAATAGCTAAAATTACAGAAAAAGAATAGTTTCAAATAAAACCACTTGTTTATTTTACTGTTTTGTATTAGGTACCTTACCTCCGGACTTGATGGAGTGACCTGAAGGTGTACTTTAATAATCGCTATTGGAACTGGTCGCCGAGTACTACTAGGTGTGCCGAGTTTGGGCTCGTTTTGTTATGTATGATGATTTCTTACCTCCGGACTTGACGGAGTGACCTGAAGGTATAATTTGGTAATCGGTATTGGACCTGATCGCGTACCTGGTGCCGCGTACGCGGTGTACCTGATTACCAAAGTACACCTTCAGGTCACTCCGGCAATTCCGGAGGTAAAGACTCATCATACCTAACTAAACGAGCCCAAACACGGCACATCTATAGACTCGCACCAGTTTCAATAGCGATTACAAAATACCCCAGCTCCCAACGGAGGTAAGAACTCATCATACCTAACAAAACGAGCCCAAATTCGGCACACTTAGTTCTACTAGTCCAGGTGTTCCAGTATTAGTTACTGAAGTTCACCTACTGGTCACCCCATCACGTCCGGAGGTAAGGTCTTATCATAACTGACAAAACCAGCCTAAAGTCCACGCAACATCTCACCAGGGCTCCCGTCAAGCAGTCTCTAAGTAGGTATTCGTATTTCGTATCTAAATCTAATTACTCTATGTATCTAAGTATATTTATGAGGTAAAAGAAATCAAAAGCAAATTCGATCTTTCAAATTATCAATATAATTTTATTTGACAACGATTCCCGCGACAACCGTGCGTACACTTGTGTATGTGTCAATGTAATAGTTCGATTCTATACCTGTATCAATTTTGTAAACGCGTCCTTAAAACATCTTAACGTAAATATTGCGGCAAAAAGAGCGACACGTCTCTACAGCACCAGGCAGCACCAGGCCTCGGCCGGCAGTGACTCTGCACAGGCGTTTACGCAAACATCCGTACGTATTATTTCAGAAATAGGAATATGTGGTTTAAAAAAAAACTATTAGTTGGACTAAAAAATTAAAACACTATTACGTTAATATGTTGAATGTATAAAAATCTGACAAAAAATCAGAATGATTGCATGTATACTTATCACGTATGGTTTTTACTCGTTAAAAGAAAATTTTAGAGGTATGTTTGTGATTTTTTTCTGTCGTATTAGATTAGTGGTATCATGTTTTCAACACACTATCTAACTAGCATATATCCTGGACAATATCATATATTTTTCTGGGTTTGTTTACTGCAATGGATTATATACTTTGAGGCATTATAAAACATGCATTTAGCATCATGCCTCGTCTTAAATACGATCGCTGAACGTTGTGGGAACGGCTATTGAATTAGAGGTCCATGTTTTACGGCAGAGTAGACTATTTTATAGACTGATGTTGAAGAACTGGATATGATTTGCTATTGCCTGTTGTGTTTTTAAAATAAAACATTTATACAAAAAAGAGTTTGTACTCATACTTAGAATGTAATAAGTACCTAATTACTCTCTCATTAACATACAATTTCTTATCACAAACATCAATCATGACGTGTACATAATAGCATTTTTTTTCTAGACAGTTTTCGAGCAAACACTGCAAAGTTCTGCGTCATTGCATTGTATTAATTATATCGCTAGTTAGAACAAGTAAGAAGTCCAATAACGTTATCAGTTTAAATTGTGTGTGTGCGAGTGTGTGTGTGCGTTGAGACACGAATGATTTATGTTTGTGTTCGTGCTCGGCCCCCTGCGGCCGTCGGGAACGGCGCGGCGCGCGCATGCGGTTTCAGCCGGTTCTCTTATCAACGAGCAAGTTATTGCTACCATCTCTGTGCCTTCTTTGTAGAAAAAAATAATGGGCCCTAATTAAACCGGCAGATTATACATATTGAAGTGAAAACTTCTTTAGCGGCGCCGTACACTTTTTTTGTAATGGGTAAAAATGTTAAACTTACGTCAGGATACGTGACCTGATCGAAAATTCGTAAGACGAAAACTTCTTTAGCGGCGTTGTACACTTTTTTTGTAATGGGTAAAAAATGTTAAACTCGCGTCAGGACACATGACCTGATTGAAAATTCGCAAGACGGATGGAGAGTAACAGCCGGCGTGGCGTAGGAGAGGAAGTATCCCCCTCTCTTTCGACGGTGCGGCGAAAATGTACATGCTTGCGCGAAAGTAATATAAATTGTCATGTTTGTGTACCATTGCGCAATAAATAAATATTGTATTCTACCACATAAATGATAGTACTTTTATACTGATAATTAAAGCAATTCGTGCAAAATTATTCCCTAACCATTCCAAAATATCGAAAATGCACAACGTTAATATTCAAGTTTTCACTTATGCCGGCACTTCCGGAGTGCAACCCGTCGTTTTTTATATGTAATGTATATATATATACACAAAAACATAGGTTTCGAATTAATAACAAGGTATTTTTTCTAAATATCTAAGCGTTATTATGAATGACTTTTACAGATTTAAAAAAAAAAGTATTTTAATTTAATAATAATCACGTTTAGTTTAACCCTTATTTATCTGTATTTGTGATAACGACTAGCCATTGTCTATATCCCAGTCCAACTGGGCAAACGAGGAGTCACAAGCCGCAGAACGCAGTACTCCTAGCGGTTACAAACTCTAGATACAACTGGTTGCAGGTTATCAGGAGACTCGCATGCAACCAAACTCTGCTGGCTATATTTCATCATCAGCAAATTACAGACTAGGTATGACCGATACAAACTACTTACTGTTTTTGTTCGCTTGCTGCGTATATTTCAGTATTTCATAAATTTAATAATGAATATAATTATTCTAAGGCAGATGTAGCCGAGATGTAAATGAAAGTTGTTTACAAATCCATACAAACGAAATTTATTATCTATAGGAGAATGATTACAATATTTTTATATAAAAGGAAACAATTTCTTTTTGTATATAGAATGGGCCCAACACAAATTTTAAAGATTCGTAATGAAATACATGTCGATTTATTTCATTACGAAATTTTACTGTATCTAAACAGAGTACTGAGAAATTAACAATTAAAATATGACCACACTCCCACAGAATACCAGCATAAAAGTAGCAGATTAATGATGCTGTGTTTACAGTGTGAGTGTAAAGAACCGGAGACCCTTTTTGCTAGAAACTGGTTGTCACTGGTGACAACGTATTTGCATTTTGATTCGTATTTGAGGACAGATGTAGATGTCTATGGGCCACAGCAACCACTTACCAACTGGTGGGATTTATGCTTACGCCTTTAATTATATTTAAAAAAATCCTTAGATGGATTTTATTTAAATATCGATTAGTTAACATTTATTATCAGTTAAGCAAAGATATCGTTTGACTTTCCTTTTTTAA